GAGAGTGAACTCGTATCTGAAAGCCATATCTCTGAGTTTTGAGTGGGCGCATGTCGCCAGTATACTGCGTTGCTGTTTACATGCATGAAAAGTGTGTTTGAGAACGAGTCTGATTGCACTCTAAAGAGTCGTAAGTTATCTAAACCCTCTTGAACCCTTTTCTGAACCCATTTCCGCCCCTCAACCCCCCCTGCCTCCGGTTCGGTGAACCAGGACCGAATTGAAAGATAAGAAGTGCACACACCTGGCCTGATGTCAGATGTTCGTTTCTTTTCTTCTTTAACTCCCCGATGCCCGTCCCCCCCTCCTCCCTTCTTTTTCCCCTGTGTCAGGGGCCCGTTAGCAAAAACAGGACCCCGCATCAATTTTTTTAATTATTATTTTGAAAAATCTGGTGGCTTTCGTTCTCAAGAAGAAACGAAGAAGAAGTGGGTCAGCAAAGCCAGCACCTGACGCTATTGGGGGAATTTTTCCTGGAAAAACTTGAAAAAATGGGGGGGGAAATTAAAATTGTCCAGAAAAATAAACAATCAGAAGAAATGATGTAATCCTCTTGGGTTCGGATTCTCGGAATTGTTGATATTGTTTGATGGGATGCAAGGCCTCAATCCCAGCATGTGCTGCTCCGCACAACCAGAACGGACCTGCTTTTTTGGAAAAAAAAAACAAAAAGAAAAGGTTTTGGTGAAATTGGTCGATGTGCTCAAATCTTTTTTTTACTATTTTTTTTGCTCAATGCTGACTATGGTAACTAACGACCTTTTTTTCTTTCTTCGGATTTCTTCTTGTGTTTTCAAATTTTCTTTTTAGGTTCATATTGGAGAGGTGAATGTGTCCAGCAGCCCAGAAGCCGCAGCGTACGTAAAAGAAAAAAATGCATGTTTGTTTGTCGTTCTTCAGACTTCTTCTCCCTTTTTTTGTACTGCTCTTTTTTTCCCCCCTCGTGTTTTCACAGACTGGGTCCTTGCAGTTGTCCCCTTTTGGTTAATTGATCAATTACAAATGAGTACCTTAGGAGTCAAGAGGGGACCATTTGTCTTTTAAGGAGGGAAAGGGGGGGGGGGGGGGGGGGGGGGGAAGGGGAAGAGGATACAGGAACGCAGAGACGAGGCAGAGGGGTTTTGGTTAGGCAGGGGAGCTAGCACATTAAACCTCCAGTACGTTGCCCAGCTGTGTGATCAAAGTCGTGGGGTGCATGCTGCGATTCTCGGGAAGTACCGAGGTGCCTTTTCGCTGGACATCCATCCAGGCAGAATGGGTCTTGCATGCGACCTATTTTGCCTGGATGGATGTGCTGCGAAACGCCGCCTGGGTACTTCCCGAGAGTAGCACCAGCACACACACCGCGGCTTTGATTTTATATCGTTGGGAAACGTACTGGTGGTTCAATGAATGAGGGCATTTTGGAAAGTAGGTGAGAGGCAGGAGGATTTTCAGCAGATGCGGAGTGCAGTGAAATGGAGCCGGGCATACAGTAATGCAGGGAGGGAGGCAAGAGGGTAATTATTCTTGGTAGGCAAGGCACAGCGACAGAATGGACGAGGACGTATAGGAGAGGGAGGAGAGGGAGGAGAGGGAGGAGAGGGAGGAGAGGGAGGAGAGGGAGTTTGGGCAGTAGTGGAGGAGTGGTCGAGGACATACAGAGAGAAAGTAGGGGAGAGGCTTGCTTCATGGCTGAATGGTTCGTACATGCAGCTCTTGATTAACAGGTCATGAGTTCAAGTTCTGAGTCTTCTGACACAATCAGGTGAATATGTTGTAGACAATCTTTTCGTTTGTTTTGTCAGCAATCTCAAGTCCTACCCTGAAAGGAACTAAAAAGGGGTCTTGGCCGAAGACGCTTGGGTTCAATCCCCGTTGGGCTCATGTACCTCCCTTGGCGAGCCTGGTGCCAGTTGGTTCCCCCTCGCAGCATTGAGCGGGACCGGAGGGACGGCACATCAACTGGCCCATCGAAGAAGCTCGGTCCTGATGCTACTGACTGACCCATGGCCGGTATTGCCCACCTGCAGGTCGGGTGCAGCCCCTGCATGTTCCCTCGTTGGAGCCATGGACTCTGGCTGGCTGCTATGGAGTTCCCTGTAGTAATACTATAATGATAAATAAAAAGTTAAAAACTTCAAAAAGGCCTGAACAGGCCGTCCTGTCCAGATTTGACGGGTGCTTGAATTGGTTAGGCTTAAGGCTCCTTAAACCACCACTACCTTTCTCATATCTGGGGCTGCGGGCCTGAAATTCAAATTCAGCCGCAACGTGCCGTTGATGAAAAATATCAACGGCGGCGCGATGGCTATTTTTTCAGGAGTGGGCTGCTAGATGCTCGCGGCCGACATATGGGAAAGGTAGTGGTGGTTTAAGGAAAAAAAAGAAAAAAGAAAAAAGGAAATAGAAAAAAAGGTTAAAAAAACTAAAAAGGGGAGCGTAGGAAAGAGGGAAATGATAGGGAGCAAACACTTCAAAACATTGAAAATGTGAGAAACGTCAAGAGCAAGTGTCTGGTTATTATGTGGATGATCAGGAACTGTGGGAGATGTTTTGGGGTTTATCATCCCCCTTTTCGGATTTACAAAAAAGGGTAAATGTCATTAAAAATGAGTTCGAAACTAGGCACTCATTTTTTTTTGCTCAATTTTCATGTGGATCGCAGGCTTGCGGAGCAATATGGTTTGAAGAGCCTTGTCCAAGATCCCGACGTCTGCCTTGCAGTCCTCTTGTTTCCCTTTGGTGATGATAAGCAAGAATCAGAGCCAGAGGTCAGTTCCTAACCTAAAATTGTTCACAGACAGACATTAACTGCTTTCTCCTTTGGAGAGGAGAAAAGAAATGGGTGGGTTTGTGGCTGGGTGGATAGAGAGTGGGAACCTTTGTATATCTATATGTAATATGGATGTATATCAACATGCATGATTTTATGTGTGTATGTGTGTAGGTGTGTATGTATGGATGTATGGATGCATTGATAAATGGATGGATGGATGGATGGATGGATGGATGGATAAAGGGGAGGGGAGGAGAGGGATGTGGGCATTGTCGGGATGGATGGATGGGGGGGGAGGGAAGGGGAAGAGGAGAGGAGAGAAGGGGAGGGGAGGGGAGGGGAGCGGAGGGGAGGGAAGGGAAGGAGGGGGGAGAGGAGGGAAGGAGGGAGGAGAGGAGGGGAAGAGGGGGATGGATGGGACGGTTCGGATGGCTTAGGATATTTGGAATGGGTGGACAGGAGAGGAGAGTAGTAAGAGAAGAGGGAAGGGGATGGGAGAGATGGGACGGTTGGTATAGTCGGAATGGAGGGATGGGTAGGGGAGTTGATAATTCACTACATTGATAATTCAATGGATGACCATTTTTTTTTTCTGATCAAAAGTCTAATCTGGTCGAAAAAAGTTTGACTGTCTTGCATGTTTCGGAGCGAAAGTATGATCTCTGGGTAGCATATGTTGCAAGGCATTGATGAACGGTTAACCTCTGGTTAGCAGCAACGAGAGCCTCATAACGGAAAATATTTTGTTGGTTTACAAATTACTGAAGATATGGTTGGTCATAAATTTGGAGAATTTGCTTCCCCCCAGACCAAGGAGGAGGTTGACTTGCGATTCTTGTGAACTGATTCAGGAGATAGAGGTTACGGGGTGGGGGGTGGTCGATCTCACAATTGGGCCATTGGTCACATGCATTAGGAAAGGGTTGGGTTCCCCTAGCCGAGTTGGTGAAGGGTGATGGTCCTCGGTGGGCCACACTAAGGTAGGACAGAGGGGGGTGGGGGTGCGCCGGGGTAATTGATCAGAGGAAGGGTGAATGGGGGGCTTCTAGAGGGGTTACACACACACACAAAAAAAAAAAGAGGAAAGGGTCGGGTACATTCCTTGAAATGGTCCTCCGTGGTGGGTGTTGGTGCAGAATTACATCTCCCCTTGAAAAGATGGTTTTGCCTGCAGCCTGACGGCGGTACTGTATGCTGCGGCTGGCAGCATCTGACACTGCATGTATGCCCATGTGTGACACAGTGCACTCTTGTTTGAAACATGCACACACTATCAGTGCACATTCAGAGGCGCTGGACCAGTTTGGGGGGGTGGGCGGGGGGGGGGGGGGGGGGGGCGCTCGGGGGGTGGAAAAAAGATTCGAAGAAGCAGCAGAAGGAAACAGCAGCGCTATTCTGTGCTGCTGTCATTGTTGAAAATATGTGGTGCTGCAATTGCATCTCAATCTGCATTACACGCATGGCTCCAGTGTGCAACAAGAAGAAGAAGAAGAAGAAGAAGAAGAAGAAGAAGAAGAAGAAGAAGAAGGAGGAGGAGGAGGAGGAGGAGGAGGATGAAGAAGAAGAAGGAGGAGAAAAAGAAGAAGAAGAAGATTGGTTTTCACAGATGTCAATTTGACTGTGACTTCGCATGTACCTCTTACTCTTCGCCATATGCATCATTCGGTTTCTTTGCCTGCTCTCTTAGCATATCCCATGCTGTGGTCTTCCCGATTCTCCCTCTCCTCCCCCCGCCCTACACAAAGGCCTTGTTGCATTGTCTTTTGTCCATTGTCATGTTATATATCCACAACTGCATTGCTAATTTTACTGTCTGTTGGTATCAATTGGCATGTTCCCACAGTTGTACCGAGGAGCTATGGAAGCAAAGGAGCTCTCGAAGTTCACATTGGAAGCAATTCCATCATTCGTACAACATGTGACAGCGGACTCCATGCAAGCATTCGTCAATGTACAGCCCAATTTGCCGAAGGCAAGTCACCAGCTCTGCTTCAGAGGTCAAACCCTAAGGAGGATCTGGACGACTACATAGTCCCACGATTAGTCCCGATTGTGGGACTGAAACCAGACGCTCTCTTGTTTGCAGTCACACCATGCCATGGGTTTGAATTTGGGACTGTCAAATGATCACTGAGGATGATGTCTTCCTGTGGCTGGAAATGGGTGTTTTCTGTGCAGGTGGTACTTATTACTACGAAGACTGAAACACCAGCGTTGTTCAAAACCCTGGCCACCAATTACCGCCTGCATCTCATGTTTGCCAGGGTGAGCATCCGAACTCCAAGAACCTCAGACCCCATCGTAGCAGTATTTTGGCACCGTTCTGCTCTGTTAAGAAAACTGCATCTACGTTCTGTATTTCACTCCTTGAATTGAGGAAAGAAAAAAGGTCTCCGGACACGCTTCAATCGTAAGTCATGTACCAATATTCTCTTTATGGAGGCACAGCAGTCCCAGTCTGGCTATGGAAAACTCTGCCAGTCCCAGTCTGGCTATGGAACACTATGACAGTCCCAGTCTGGCTACGGAACGCTATGCCAGTCCCAGTCTGGCTATGGAATCACTCTGCCAGTTACGAGTTCACAGAGTCCTATTCTGACTATTACTCTTTTTAGTCTTTTCCCTTCAGCTCTTCTCTATTCCTGTCTCTCCTGTGCTGTCTCCGTTGTTTTTTTCTCCCCCTTCCCCCCCCCCTCCTCCCCTTCTTCCCCCCCCAACAAATACACAAGTAAAATTAGACTTCTCCATTGTTTTTTTTTTTTTTT